AATATCCCGATATCCCCAATATCCTGATATCCTCAATATCCTGATATCCTCGATATCCCAATATCCCAATATCCCGATATCCCCAATATCCCAATATCCCGATATCCCGATATCCCCAATATCCTGATATCCCCAATATCCTGATATCCCGATATCCCGATATCCTAAATATCCCGATGTCCCCATATCCCGATATCCCCAATATCCCGATATCCTGATGATATCCCAGTATCCCAATATCCTGATATCCCGATATCCCAATATCCCAAATATCCTCGATATCCCGATATCCCGATGATATCCTGATGATATCCTGATGTCCTCAATATCCCCGATATCCCAATATCCCGATATCCCGATGATATCCCAATATCCCCGATATCCCAATATCCCGATATCCTGATATCCCGATGATATCCCGATGACATCCCGATGATATCCCAATATCCCAATATCCCGATATCCTGATATCCCGATGACATCCCGATGACATCCTGATGATATCCCGATATCCCAATATCCCGATGACATCCCGATGACATCCCGATGATATCCCGATATCCCAATATCCCGATGACATCCCGATGACATCCCGATGACATCCCGGTGTCCCGGTGTCCCCCGTCCCTACCGAAGCACTTGCTCTGGTTGGTGGCCCTGTCCACGAAGACCTTGGCGGAGATGACGTTGCCGAAGGGGAGGAACATCTGCAGGATCTCGGTGTCGGCGAACTCCTGGGGCAGGTGGTAGATGAAGATGTTACAGCCCTCGGGGCCTGCGGAGGGAGCGGGGTCACACCTGGGACTGCGTCCCCAACACGGACACGGGACCCCAAAACCGGGGCTGACAACCCAAACCGACACTCGGGACCCCAAAACCGACACTCGGGACCCCAAAACCTCACCCAGGACCCCAAAACCTCACCCAGGACCCTAAAACTGGAGCTGGGAACCCAAAACCGGAGCTGGGAACCCAAAACCAGCCCTGGGACCCCAAAACTGGACTTGTGAACCCCAAGCTGGCCTCAGGACCTCAAACTGGTCCCTGGACCCCAAAACTGGATTCAGGATCCCAAACTGGCCCTGAGACCCCCAAACCAGCCCCAGGGTCAAAAAATCAGCCCTGAGGCACCAAACCTGTCCCTGTGACCCCAAACCTGCCCCTCTGACCCCAAATCTGACCCCGTGACCCCAAACCTGACCCCGTGACCCCAAACCTGACCCCGTGACCCCAAACCTGTCCCTGTGACCCCAAACCTGACCCCGTGACCCCAAACCTGTCCCCGTGACCCCAAATCTGACCCCGTGACCCCAAACCTGACCCCGTGACCCCAAACCTGTCCCTGTGACCCCAAACCTGTCACTGTGACCCTAAACCTGACCCCGTGACCCCAAACCTCACCCTGTGACCCCAAACCTGACCCTGAGACCCCAAACACGGCCCCACACCCGCGGGATCCCTGACACCCCCCCCATCACACCCCAAATTCCAGGGAGTCACCCCAAATACCTCCAGGGCCCCTCCAGCACCCCCAATTCCCTGGGACACCCCAAAGCCCCTTCCTGAGGGGTCCCGGGGGTCCCTGGGGTTTTGAGGGGGTCCCATGGGGGAGGTTCAGGGGGTCCAGGGTGGGGGTCCGGGAAGGACTCGTGGGGGTTTTGGGAGGGTCCCCGGGGTGTTTGGGGGGGTCCCGGGGGAAGTCTCAGGAGGGTCCTGGGGGTGTCTGGTTGGTCCCGGTCCCCGGGGGGGTCCCCGGGGGGGTTTTGGGGGGTTCCCGGGGGGGTCTCGGGGGGTCCCCGGGGGGGTTTTGGGATGGTTCCAGGGGGTCTCGGGGGGTCCCTGCGGGGGTCTCGGGGGTTTTGGGGGGTCCCGGAGGGGGTCTCACCTTCGCGCTGCTGCTGCTGCGGGGGGGGCGGGGGGGCGAGCAGGGGTCCCGGGGGGGCGAAGGCCGGGCTCACCAGCCCGTAGGCGGCCGGGTACGCGGCTGGGGGGCACGGGGGGCACGGGGGGCACCGGCGACATCGC